GTTTAGATTTACTTATATTGTATTAATTTAAGACTCGTGTCAGGCTCATCTACTCTCCTTTTTCAAAACCTCTTGTTTACATGCCAATCATTCTCATTCGTGCTCTAAACCTTGATTACCAATGATCCAATCACGTGCAAGCAAACATTCTGCTTTATTTTCCTTGCCCATGGTTGGGTATTCTTTGCAAAGTAAATTTTCCCCACATTCACTGAGCTAAGTGAACATCCTATGTAAATCAATCTCTAAGTCTGAGTAACAACACAAGCAATGAATATTTGGTTGACAAGTAAATGATTGCTGCAGCCTAGCTGAGGGTCGAATGGGGACCACTGAAAATTGAATGCAGTTGTAAAAGGAATAAGACACAATATGATTGTCTAAGTTATAACCCTCTGACTACCATGGACACAAGGACTGTGTCTGTGGCAGCACGCCCCTGTAAACTGACTCCTTGGCAGTTATAGGAGCTAGTAGTTCGTTTAGTTTTATTCAGCAGACTCCCAGCTACCATGTGGGATGTGGGGAAGCTTCCCAATCACTTACAGAAACTGTGTAGCATGCCAGTTGAGTTCACCGATCTCTTCTCTATTTAAAGAACCCAGAAGCAACAAGAATTACACTGCGCGATTATCGTACGATCGCGGGGTTTCCTGCGATTCTTGTACGATAATCGTGCAGTGTATGGGCACCTTTAGGCCTCATTCACATGAGAAAGAGCCGGCACGTACTCAGAGAACCTATCTCTGAGTGGCCTTATTAGCCCCTTATGTGATATTAAAGTGTAAAATCTAAATGTTAAATAAAATTAATTTAAAAAATACCCTAAAGATTTGTAAAATTACCACCCCCATATACGAGCATAAACACAAGTCGGGAGTGCATATGTAATGAAAATGACAATTGCGCCATGTGTTGGGGTATCACTGTGCACGCCACACTAAACTGATGATCATGTCAATGGGCAATTTTGGGGTATCAGAAATTTTTCCTGTGGATGAGTGAGAACAATGTCATAGAAAGAGCTTAGTGTTGTATTTCAACTCACAAGCTTTTGTGTGTGTGTGTGTGAATTGAATTACTTACTGTTCCTTCATCCCTTTCGCATGTCCATTTCATGATACCTTGATTGATAAATATTAAAATAGTATATAATCCAGAACTCCAGCCAAACATAACAGGAGGACAATGCATGGTCTATTGCAAGATAAAATTAAAATGCTGTCACGAATCCACGGCAACCAGTGACTGGTCAGTGAAAGGGAAGTAGCACGGTGATGAGCTCATCTTTGTCACGCTGCTATTTCTTCCTTGTCAGTACATAAACTAATTGGCTCCTTTTACGGTTTCTTTTCCTCACACTCCAACCCTGCTCTACAACACCTGAGAGGCTAATAGCGGGTCAAAGGAAGGTACTTACACTGTTTGCATGAAAGAATACATCTAATAATATGTTTAAAGAGCTGCAATAAATTTGTGGCTTTTTAAATGTCTGCCTCAAGTTCAGCTTTAAGCATGAAACATCAGAAACCGAATAACGTCAGTCAGTGAATATCGATACTTAGCCTGCAAAACATCATAATCCACTGGAGGGCACTTCTGTTATTTTCCAATAATCAGGCTGATTTATGATCAGTGAAGCTGTCAAATGTAACATAACAGATTTGGACATCATCATACATCAGAATGAAATATAATGAGGTTGAATATCATCATTCCTCAGACTGGAAATCATAATGGCCACTGATGATATTCACTTCTGAGACTGAATATCATTACTCTTCAGACTGCATATTGTCATTTTTCAAACTATATCATCATTCATCAGACTAAACATTACTCTTCCATTGAAGGTGCAGTTATTCATGGCTGATACATGACCAGTAATTCTGTCAACTCATCAGTACCAGGCCACCAGTTTGTTTTTAGGCATCATAACATTGTCTTTAGTACCAGGAATCAGTGTAACCACTTGTCTGTAATTACATGCTGGAGGTGGACAGTTTTTGACACTATGAGGTGATAATGCCAATTCCTCCTAATAACTAGCAGTACACGTCTGCCTACAGCCTCATAGGTGTATATCTGCAGTGAGAATCTACAGCACCACTGCCTCTGATGGCTGGTCTCGCTAGCTTTAAAGTGAACTTATTTCAGGTCACTGCTGTGCTAGTCAGTATTCTTGCTAGAGAGGAGGATGTACATGAGGACCTGCAATGCAAAGATTTCCCTGCTTTTGCAGATCTGTGTTCCTTTACCTTTCCTGCTTATCTGAATATTACCCCGTGAGTCATCAGATCAGCACTCCTCAGGTGAGCAGCTGTCAATCGGGGAAACAAAGCCTTTCTTCTACCAAGATGGCCACCTCTACATATAGGAATAGTGCAGAATAAAGAATGGTCAGGAATGGGGAAAAGATCAGTTGCAAGGATGTGCATCACAGTGGTCTGCTGCCAACAAAAAGCCTCTTGCCGTTTCTGTATAGCAGAGCTGGTCTGTGCGAGAAAGGCAGCAGCACAAGGAGCCAATTGGTTCACGGGCTGACAAGAAGCATGTTAGGAAGGGTAAGCACATTGTTAGAGAGATGAGCTCATCACTGTGTTGCTTCTCCTTTCACTGTCCAGTCACAGGCTGGATTTCGAGTCTAGGAGGATCTTGGCTCAGAGGAAGTGGGATGAACGATGCTGGTCATCGAGTGGCAGAAAAAAAGGCGAAGGTGAGAATTTCAGCAAAAGCTGGTTGTCTTATTTTATTAATTTATGTAATGTGCTATTCATGTTTCTTACTATATTTGGTTGGAGCTCTGCTTTAATGTTCACAGACACACATAATGCTAAACATATTTTATCATGCCACAGCAAACTGGTGCATTTAAAGAAAGAAATACACACATGCATACTCATTAAACAGGTTACCTACCACAGGTACTGTGTCGTAGAGGATCTTTGGGTAAGATTCTCCTAACTTCTTTGTTTTTCTGTCCCAGCGTGCTCCATCCAGAAACAGTCCATAAACATACACACCTGTGATTTAAAATATAGACTTTAGAACAAAAAAACTATCTTGCCTATGCAAGAGGTGTGGTGGTCACCTCTCCTAAGCACTGGGGCTGCTGATTAGCCCGGTGCCAGTTAGTATTATGCATTCCTTGGAAGACATGTTTTTTTGGGGGGAGAACCCCTCTCAAATTTCCCCTCAAATGTTGAAGGGCATGTGGGCTGATAATTACATAAGGGGATTCACACCCACTGCCCCCTTGGCATAGGATAGCTGCTTGTTGTGCTGAGTTGGTTCCGTTCATCCCTATTCTCATATAGCAGCCGAACGACAGTGAATGAATAGCATTTGGCTCGGCAATTATGCTCGGTACCTCCGTGGTACCGAACATACCTTACCATCTCGTCATGGGACGAGATGGTAAGGATTATGGCTGGCTCCACCCAGTTGTCATTTGCAGGGAGAACGGCTGGCTCCGACAGGCCGTTCGCCCGCTTGGGCTGTCACTTCGGCTCAGTCGAGCTGAAGCATGTGCCCATATAGCAGCGCTCCGGTTTGACTGAACCAAAGGGCTCTGGCGGCCAAAGAGAGCCAAAGGATCAGCCAAAGCTATGGCTGGATCCTTCTGCTCTTTAGTGAATAACCCCCTGAATCGTCAACACATTTCCACTAGATGTATAAAGTACTTCATAAAATTTGGCAACATTTGTTCTTCAATAAGCTAAGGTCTTTACTGTAACATTCACCCCATGTAAGCAAAGGGTGAATGTTACCTTCCCTGCACATTAACATTACATTTTGTCAACTTATTTTGAACTAAGATTCACCTTGCTGATCTGGTGATTTTTGCATTGTCTACAACAAATGCAATGAGTGTCTAAGGAGAGTGCTAAACCTGGATATTCAACACAGGTTTTAACAGAGAAAAAAAATAAACCTGCTCCCCTATTCAGATCTCGATCAGAGTGGGACCCGACCTGCAGTCAGTGACAAATGTTAAGAATTATATAGCTTCCTGTTTCCTGTTCAGACCTGCTTTCCAGCTCCAACTTCTTTGCATACCAATACAGGTTCAGCACTTAAATGGTTAATTCACTCACCCCGCCCCCACCCCCCTTAATATAAACAAATTTGAAGACAGTGTGGTCTCTCCCTTTTCAGAACCATTCTCCCACATCAGGCATGCGGGGTGGTATTTCCATAGCAAGGCAGAGGTGAGCATACAGACCCCCTGCTATGCTGATAAAAGCTTGCATGCCATTCAACAAAGGACCAGTGCATTAAGAGGAGTTCCCTCAAAAACGGGTCCCTCTCATAAAGCACTGATGCCTAATGCTGACACGCAGCAGGCTCTTTGTCACGCCCAGAGCCAAGGAGTGGGTTCCAACAGTGCAAATGACAATTATGACAATACCGCATAGCACATTTTAAATGCTTCAACGTTTGAGGGCTATTTTATAGAGATACATAAACAAAATTCCTTCGTCTGGATCAATTAAATAAATTAGTAATGGGTCTTCAAATGGAATAAGCATTCTTTATACTGATTTGCAGTTGGAATAAGCTTCCTCATTAGTACATGTTTAATAGTTAAGAACAGGGGAGGACTGGGCTAGGAGGTAGGGGGGTATTTACTTTTTTCAACTGGTGTTGCTGATTTTGGATTCCTGAGTCTCCAGTTTGTACCGGAAATGCTGTCATTTTGACATGTGGGTTTCCCTGTTAGGATTCTGGGAAACTATTTTAAAGATATTAACAAAGGTAAAATGTTTTACCTGAATAATGAAATGTAGGCATGGCTCCTTTTTTCTACCTTTTATGTAGTATGTAATGTATGTTGTTTAGCCAGCACTCTTGATTGACATAAAATACATCATTACCACTGACTAGCCATCAAGACTTTTTACATTTTTATATGTGTTTACTTCAGCCTGTCTCTTCTAGTGACATGTTTGTCTTGAAGCACAAGCGCAAGGAAGCCAGGGGTTTGTGACATTTGGCAGGAAGAGTTTATGTTGTCAGACATGTGAAACAGGAAGTCAGTTATTTCAGTAGATTTCAACGTGTTTATTTTTATTTGGAATATGCTACTTGACGTGGAATATGCAAATAAAATAAAATCCGGACTCTGGAGCTATTAAAAACGTTTTTTGGTTTTGTTTTTTAATAGTGTTGTGGTTTAATTTCAAATGACCCTTAATATGTTTTGCTGCCATTTTAAACACAAGTATTACTTGGCAACGCTGCTTAAATCAATAAAACCATGAGCATAAAATGAATTGAGTTCCAGTCCTGAAAGGCCAAATATCTGGTCCAATGACAGATTGTACTAAGCATTTGTCATTTTGTTGAAGTTACATACGTTCCATCCAGATCCAAAGATTTCATTTTTGGATTTTCTGGGTTGCTGGGTTTATATTATAGTTTAGAAATCAAACAAAAGTGAACAGAATGTTTTTGAAGTATGGCAAAGGCTGACTAAAATGCCACCAATTGATGTACATTCTGTTAGGTACAGGGACACCGATCATTATACACATACTGCACTTGAAAATTATAGTTCATCTTTGGCTGCCTGGTTTTCCAACCGTGAAGTGTACATGGGCTTTAACCTGTAGCCTAATATTTTCTAGTTGTAAACACTTACTCTATGTTCAGAAAAGGTAAAGTGAAATAGTCTAACAATTGTCCACTATACAAGTCTAGCAAGAAGAAACTAGTTGGTTGCTATGATGAAAGTACCAAACAGTCTGCAGTCAGACACATCACACATGATCCCTACAGTATGCATCAAAGTTTTTGAAAAGTTGTCCAGCAAGTTTTGAAGCTTTTATTCAGTACCCATAAATATATAAAATCATCAATAACACTACTTACCATCTTCAGGTGCATGTTTGTATTCCTTATCATCTAAAACCTCAAAGTCAAAGCCCAGCAGGTCAATCGGGATTGTGTATTTGCGAGCATAATTCTGCTGAGCACCTGTCAGGAATGCTTGTGTGAAGAAAAAACCTGACACCCAAAACATGGGAGGAGTTCCATTTTCATACCAGTCCTGTATTAACAAAAATGATATGGTTAATTTATACCTTTACTGTACATAATGTGTACACATGACATGAAATCACAGGTAACAAACACAGGTAAGTGTAAGTCATTAATGCAAAATTATGCACAAATATTATAACTAGGGATGCACCGATGTATCAGCTGCTGAAAGATATCGACTGAAAATTGCACTTTTGGCATAATGCCTCTCCTCCCACAGTGCTCAGCCACCTGTCACAGATCGGCAGAGCGGTGTGTGGGCGGAGACAGCCAGCGTTGTCACGGCAGGCTGAGCTCTCCTCCCTGCACCGCTCGCTCAGCCTCCTGTGACAGCGTGTCAGGAAGGAGAGAGAGTGCAAATACTCAGCGATCAGTGATCGATGAGTGTTTGGACATAATTGACATAGCATTTTGACTGTAGCCTTAATTATGAATGAATGGGAAGTGATCTACATCACTTCCTGTTCATTCATGATTGTGGATATAGTAAAGATACTCTGTTCTCATGTTATGAATGAACAGGAACACTCAGTATAGAGGATTCCTGTTCATTGATAAAGAGATAAATTGAGAAAAAGAGATTGAGGACTCTGTGTTCTCAATCTCTTTTTCTATTTTAAAAGGGAAATATCAGGGGTCTGTTTAGACCCCGAATATTTCCCCAAAGCCCCCTAAAAGTAAAACAATAAAAATATTTAATAAAAAAAATGAATAAATAAAAATAAATATAAAAAATTAAAAAGTTTATAAAAATAAATGAATAAAATATTTGAAAACGTTTGAATAAAAAACATTTTTGGTTTCGGCCTGACATTTTTTTTTATTTCGGTTTTGTTTCAGTTTTGAAATTTTCATTTCGGTGCACCTCTATTTATAACATAATATGATAGAAGAGAGTCTAGTTACAGGAAACCTATAGAGATCACTGTGATGATACAAGAGACAGGTGGAAATTGCTGCCAGAGACTGCATAAAACTGCTACTGTTCGGCCCATGATGTCACACTACTGATTATCCAATACAGCTGCTGATGATCATGGCATACCCGAGATTTATAGCTCCATAGATAAGCACTCCAGTTTCAGCAGCAACTTCACAGCCAGCTCCAAATCGCCAGAAGAAATAGGTAGAGACATCTTCAGATGCTGGGAATTGCTACTACAAAGTTGCTAGTGTGACGGTGCCCTTACAGGAGACCATTAGACTGACTACTACTGATATGTTCAGGAACAAACATTTCCAGAAATGAATCTTTAAAGCCTGGGCCTCCCTGGAAATCATAAACTGTTGCTAACTAGACTGCTATTCTACTGCCATGTCAATAGAAACTGCTGCATTGCACATGTTGTGACGCAAAGGGGTTGATTTACTAACCTTATAAACACGCCACAAACAAGTATACACCTCTGTAGTGTGTTCACTCCCAGCATGATCTATGGGTGGAATCTAAACACCTTTGTAGTGTGTACACACCCAGCAGGTGTGTTGTGCAAAGCCCTGCATGAATTGCAAGGTGATGTTGTGTAAATTAGCTCTACATTGTGTTGATGAATGCAGGAATGTAAATGCATGAGCTAACCATTTTTGTCTAAACTGTGAAGCAGCATTATATATGCATCATGTGCATGATTTTTCCATATATGGCATTAGTGGAAATATGCTTTTAGAGACTTTTTGGTTGATAAATACGTTTTGCTGTGTAAAAATCACACGCACCTGGTGCGTGTGTTTAGGTTAGTAAATCACCCCCAAAGTGACATAAGTACATCAGAATGCGCATGGACGCTTGTTTGGATGCATCAAAGGATGGCACTGTGAGCAGTGAAATGTTCCAAGCATCTTCTGTTGCTGTCAAGTGACGTAATGAACTTTTAGGACTGGGAACCTTCCCTTTTGTAGTAGACTGTTGGCCTATGCAGCTGAAGGATTGAGAGGGACTTCAATATACATTGCAAGTAAGTGGGGGCCACTATAAAGCTACATATGGGGTTACCTGTGACTTAAGAGTGACCACACACAATGGTAAGGTACCAATCAACCACTTTAAAGAAGAACTCCAAGCAATCAAAAATTAACCTTTGCAATAGGACTACCCCCGCACTGCAAGGGTTAAATGCAGCAGGGGTGTCAAACTCAATTTAATCGTGGGCCGCATCAACATTATGGTTGCCCTCAAAGGTATCTGTAAGACTATATAAATGTATCTAATCTTTATCATAATTGCCTCTGCATTTGATTATCACTGGTTTTAGTATTAACTTAATACCTAGATCTGAAAGTAGAAGTCTAGGAAATGGCCTGGTGGGCCGGATTCAGCCCCTAGGCCTTGAGTTTGACACATGTGGTCTAGGGGCTAAAATAAAGAAGATACACTCACCTGATCTTAGGTCCTGCAGTGGTCCGCACTCACCTCTCTCCCTCTTTGTCCCCCGTCGTTCTTACGTCCAGTGCAGTTGCATTAGACATGATGACGTCGCAGGTCCTTAGACTTCCAGAGCCCAGGAGAGAAGAGGTTGTGGAGAATAGTCTAGAAGCTTAGCGGGACCGAGGATTTTGTGAGTGTATTTTCTTTATTTCAGCCCCTAGACCAAACCGAGCCGCTAACAGCTGGGGATAGCCCCCACCGCAAGGGTTCTTCTTTAATAATTTGTCACTCCCTTTTGAAAAACTGAAAAATAATAACTTGAAATTCACACTAGGGCACACTGGATCCTGGGGCTCCCCGACCCCACAACACCCCTACTAATATGACTAACATCCAGCTTACGTATAGGTTTCCTGATAATGGTTTTCATTTTGTTTTTTGTTAAAGTGCCTTTTCACAACAAGCTTGATGTAATGTGTAATTCTTCTGTAATCAGGCTATACGAGCGGGGTCATTCAAATGAGCTCATGTTTCTGTTTGTAATCAAGAAGTGCTGATGTTCATTCTCTTACCTGCAGAAATTTTAGCCTCGCAAGAAAATCATTAACATAACTGCCAAGAGGTTTGAGACTTGGGTATGATTTCTTCATCCACATGCCGGGAATCTTTCCTTTTAGGATGCTCATAACGACTTCTTCCAAATCCGCAGACATAACCACCAGACCCTGGGTAAAACAGCCACCATGTTACAAACACAGTTGAAGACTGATTATATACAACGGTACAGACAAAAAAAAGTCACAAGGTAACTTACTCGTCAACTCTTCTGCTATGAAATTACAAATCTATTGCTAAAGTTATGCTTTAGACTGGTATAAAAAAAATTAATGCAGCTCTGTAATTATTAATTCATCATTAAAGGGATTTTTTTAAAGGTAAGAATTGTAAGTGCCAGAATTTTACTTGGTATTAGCCAATGTGCAGAGCTCAGAAAGGGGAGGGAGAAGCAGTCAGTGGTGCAAGGTGCATGCTGATGGGAGGAGAGAGAGGAGTGACAGAAAGTTAAACTCATCAGTCTACTGCTTCTCCTTTCACTGTTCACAGAGTTAGGGTAAGCAAAAGTGAAGATCGGGTCCCCTTCCCTGCTAGACAGGGCTGTGATGTGTGGCAGAGCTGTGTTAATCACAAGACTGGGTGGACAGAAGTACAAATCCTTTGACAGGTAAAACATATACTCTGTGTGTGTGTATACAGGTCATATCACCATGCGTGGCAACGTTTCAGAACCTGTCCCGTCCCTTCATCAGACAAACAAAAGTGATGAACAAAAGCCTGGTGAAGGGACCGGACAGGTTCCGAAACGTTGCCACGCATGGTGATATGGCCTGTGAGAATGAATAAAAGGATTTCGTTTTGAAGAAAACCTGGAGTGCTGGTGACCATTTTTCTGCTTTGCAAGTATTTGGCGGCACCATCTGCGGCCACTTCAGCACCCCCCTCCCCCCCCATCCCCCCACATTGTATGGGGCTTCTCGGTCAAGAGTACGGTGGGACTCTCTATTGGTGTGTGTACACACACACACATAGTTCCTATGTGTATTTAGCTGTTTACCTGGAGTTCATATTTGCCAAAGACTGTTTATAATAAATAACGATTTACAAAACACTGGACCAGACTTAATTATCTTAAAACTAGAACAACCCGACAAACTGGAATCGTGCTCATTAAAACGGGCCCTGACCTAAATGAAATAAATGTAGAAATAATACACATACTGCATGCAGAGCAAGCTGTGTGCGCGCTGAGGATTTAGTCATTAAAATCGACCTGATATTTACACTTATTCCTAATCTTCGACACTGTTATCAAAAAACAACCTAGTTCCAGTACCAACAATTCTAAAATGTATACATGGTACTGTAAATTTTATGTTACCAGGAACCATATACTGGAGACACTTGGAGTATGGCCCATTCCAGGTTTATGAGCAGGCATGGCCAGCGCTAAAAAGGATATGGGGTACAGAGGCTTTAAACTTAGGAGTTGACTGTGGTAAGCAGTTGGGAGGTTTCAGCGTAGTTTAGTTCAGGAGGGTTAGGAGGATGAGGATGATTACCATTAGTTTTGATAAAACTAACTTTTTTTCAATCAGAATTGGAAAAAAACTGCATAGCTAGTAAAATAATTCAGTCTGTGTCCATTTCTCTTATAACATATGCATTACAGCTGGTTGGTACATACAGTCATCAGCATGAAAGTTTACTGACAGTAACAGCATCTCAATCTAAGAATCCCTCAGGATAATTACACACACACTGTCCCCGTACTACAGTCTATATTATAAACCTAAGAAGACTATGGATGATTTGTAGTTTAAGCACAGACATACATTGGTAACAGTTATCATGCTTACCTTTATTGCTTTCTGTATGTTAATACAAGAATCTCTTATGGTGATCAGTAATTTGTTGAATCGACCCATTTCTTGGACCAATACTGTATTCATACTTTGGGTGTAAGTGGTCGGGTAACGTCTCATTGCAGCCTCCGTGTCAAAATTCATAGGGAGTTTACTCAGGATATCTGCTGAAACTTCGTAAACAGTCTCATCTGATGATTTTCCTCCTCCTCGTGAAGTACGTGACTGCATTTAACAAATATAGTCATTTATTATATATACTTAAATGTACACTATGTAAGATTATTTATCAATGGTAGCAGAAAACACTTCTTCTAATGCACCAGGGATGTTTCTAGGGTTTCAATTACTATTAGACATCCCTACAAGCAGTGGTGTAGCTAAACCTATAAGCGTCTGCACACAAAAAAAGGAAGGAATATTGTACACACTGCACAGACATTCATTATTTCAACAATCTCAACAACTGTAGACCTCATTGTAGGCCTCAATGGCTAAAGCACATCCCTCATTAGTTTTTAAGGGTTTTCTTTTTGACTTAGACCACATTTAGTTTTGGAGGACAAAAAACATATACAGGGTCATCCACAAAGCTGGCGAATAACCGTATGAATAACAGACCCGAAGTTAAGTGAGCCGAATGCTGTTCGGCTATTTACTTCAGGCTTGTACAGTTGATTTCAGCCATACATCGGCTGAAATCAGCCGTACATCGGCTTGCTTCGGGGTCGGCGGAACATGCTCTGCATGTTTGGCCGACCCGAAGTGCAGAAGGAGTTCGACTCAGCCGTTCGGCCTATTGTCATAGGGGCCCAACGGCAGTGAGTGACTCGGCTACCGAGCAGAGTAGAAAAACAGTGAAAAAAGTAGAAAACGATTGGGCGGAGGTAGCAGTGACAGCTAGCTCTGCCAAACTGTTTCCTATTGGCCGGTACCTGCTGTCACTACAATGAGAACTCGGAGGAGCCGCCGTGATATCATGGTTTACCAGGTAACCAGGGGACGGTGAACTGTCATTACAATGAGAGCTCAGCGGAGCTGCCGTGATATCATGAGCGGCTCAGCCGAGTTCTCATTATAGTGACAGATCAGCGTCTGCTGGTTACCTGGTAACCAGGGGACACTGATCTGTCATTACACACTGAGAACTTGGCGGAGCCGCTCGTGATATCACGGCAGCACCGCCGAGTTATCATTGTAATGACAGATCTGCGTCCCCTGGTTACCTAGTAGGTAACAAGTGGCCAGAGCCAGCCGTGAGATCATGGCTGGCTCCGCCCAGCTGTCAGTAGAAGGTTTTCAGCCGGCCGTTTAGTTCACTTCGGATTTCACCGTGGCTCAGCCGACCCGAAGCATAAGCCTTTGGCTCGACCAACTTCGGGAGCTGTACGGGCTATAGTGAATAGCTCGTACAGCAGCCCTTCTGGTTCTACAGAATCAAAGGGCTCAGGCGGCCGAAGCTAACCGGAGGATCAGCCGGAGCTACTAACAGGAAGGAGTGATTAGTATGTGTTGAATCAGCCAGAGATGCAGATCACACCGATCCTCCACTGAACCACCAGGGATAAGCTTCCAGTGCCCCACTGGACCCCAGGGAAGGCAGCCCCCTCCCTGCAAAACAGGTAAGCAGGAGAAGGGGCAATGTTTTAATTATTCATTTTTATTGTTAGTAGTTCTGTGAGTGCGATGTGTGTTTTATTAGTTGTGTGTTTTTTAATGAGTGTGTGTTTTAATGAAGATATGTGTGTGTGTTTTAACCTCCCTGGCGGTATGATTTTTAATTTTTTACATGTAATTTTTCGGTCTATTTTTTTCGCATTTTTTTCGTCTTGTCGGGTTTTTTCTTATATCCCGCCGGTTCCGCCCCCCTGCGACACGTACGCTCGCGAGCGACGAAACCCGGAAGACGGAAGCCGGCATCGGCCGCAGAACACAGCGCGGCTCGAGGGACAAAGTAAGTAAATGCTATGCGGCTTTCCCGAGTGCAGCTCGGGGTTACCGCTTATGGTATGGAAAAGTAACCCCGAGCTACACTCGGGAATACCGCCAGGGGGGTTAATAAGTGTGTGATGTGTGTGTTTTAATGCGTGTGTGTGAGTGTTTTAATGCATGTGTTTGATCTGTGTGTGTTTTTAATGAGTGTGTGATTTGTGTGTGTGGGTTTTTTTTTATGAGTGTGTGATGTGTGTATTTGATGTAGTGTATAAATTAGAGATGCACCGAAATGGAAACTTTTAGCGCTGTCTCCGCCCCCACACCGCTCTGCCGGACTGTGATAGGCGGTGTGGGAGGAGAGACACCGGCCGCTCGCAACGCTCTCGTCCTCCAGCCACTTTCTTTTCTCCCCGCTGGAACACAGAGCAGCGCCCAGCGGGGAGAAAAGAAACCAGGGATGTGCCAATGTATCGGCCGAAACATGGCTCTTTCGGCATTATGCCAAAAGTGCAATTTTCGGCCGATACGTTTCGGCGGCCGATACGTTTCGGCGGCCGATATATCGGTGCATCCCTAGTATAAATGTTTGAATATGTGTGATTCCCTTTTTTGCCTAACAAGTGATGTTGAACGTTTTTTTAAACCCCAGCGCCCAAACTGCAATACAATACTAAACTTATTTTCAGCACTGGCACTTTGAGATAAATACATTGATTTTGCGTCTGGGTTTGAAAACTCAGGTTCAAAAACATTCACCATCACTGACCTAGGGAGTCTCTGACCTGGAACAAATATGTGGTTATGCAGTCTGAAAAGGCTGAACTCTTGTCCTAGTCTGGGTCAGCGACTCACTATGTAGTGAAGAAAGGATCAGAATAACAGCTCTGGATACTGCACTAGGGTAGTGCAATTAATCAAGTATCCATGGGGACCTGACATGTAAACTAAGTCAGTCTCTGATTGCAGTCTTGACATATTCTTTCACAAGTTGGTATGTCAGAGACTGGTGCAGGTAAGCCTATGCATGTGCTGTTTACTTTCAGTAGACACTTTGTTGTCTTGAAGGTAAGCAAAATTACACTTCCCTTGTAAAGTGGCAGCAGGTGAACAACTTTGAGCAAGCGTGTTATACCAATGGTTTACTGGTTTAATGGTTTAGTATGAGGGTTAAAGCTAGGCACATCCACTAGGCCCCAGTCTCTTGTCTAGGTTGCTGTGTGGATGATCAATCTCCACCATGCATAGAGATAAGGTGCCTCGGGGACTGCTACAAAGAAAGCCTAATATGTTTGTACTGCTCAGTGACAGTGGAGCATCACTTTTTTTTGTAGCGCTACACAGGCTTGGCAGCATATGAAGCAAGAGTCAGTCTCCTGTCCCAGTCCAAGGAACACATGAGAAAATAGACGTGTAGGCAAAGAAAAGGGGGGAGGGGAGGGAGAGCGAGTAGGCGCCAAGATGGGCCACTTGCTCTTGCCCGTGCCACCCTAGAACACTCCTCTATTAAATACAATGATGGAGATACCACGCAGTATAAACCCTACCGCGGGGTCGCACTACAAAATGTACCTTAGGATAGGATATGCAATGTTCAATAGATCCAGCAGGATTATGTATATGCGCAGTTGTTGGAAAAAAGAAAAATGGAAAACTGTTGATGATGCCATGCAAAACATGTTGTAAACACTCGTTGAAATTGTCAACACAATAAAAATGTTTTTGAAAAAAAGAAAATAGACGTAGGCAGTTTTCAGCTGTTGGTGTCAAGCTAGTACAGACAAGTGGGGCTGCTTCACTGCGCCTATTGCAAACCTTATCAATGTCAGGTGATGGGATGGGGGGGGCCAAAGCACTACCTTGCCTAAGGCCCCAGTCTTCCTTACTCTGTCTCTGATACATGAGCAGTCTCTTTATTAGAATGGTGAAGTCTGCCTGGCAATCTCTCTTTAAGACAGTCTCTCTTATTATATTTCTGTGTCTTTATGCACAGCCTATCTAAATGCAGATATCTGTCTGGCATGGTACAGTCAATACTCCCTATGTGGGTGACTCACTGTCCGTTTCTGTACTGTATGTCGCAATCTCTGTCAGAAACTGATCAGCTCACAACATTTTTAAACCACTATAGTGAGTTTCAGGTGAAAAAAAAAGTTTCAGGTACAGATAAGAATGGAGGTGCCAGGCTTGCAAATTTGTTTCTCCTTTTAGCTACAGTGGAAAGGATTTAGGAATTCTAAAAGGTCAGTAGATAGTTAACACCCACTGTATTACATCTGTAGGTAGTATAGAGGAGCTATGAATTTCAGCATCATCTTTCATGACCGCTTTACACACTGCAAGACAGATATTCAGCCAGTCCTTAGGACAGAATGCTGTGAAGTACTTTGAAGTACAAGTAATTAACATATAGATTCTATTTAAATTAGTCAGACTGTACATACCTGAAAGTGCATCCAACAAAACATAAGTGTAGAACGTGGTTGGTACTAGCACAATAACAATACACAAGGATCCCATAGTCCATCAAGTTTTGAAGGAGTACTCACAATGTAAGAGACAGGGAGGCTTACCTTAGTCTTAAAGTACAACTAAAGACTCCTCTATGACAAGTACAAAATCCAGTTACTATATGATACACAAGCCTTACAAACTAACCTTTACTGTAACTGACGGAGCCAAATCTTCCTTCATTTGTGTCTCACATGTTCTCCCTCCCAGGCACTGCAGCCCACAGTCGGAGGGTTTGTGGGAGGTCACAGTGCTGGCCAGGTGCTGATTGATATGCTACAGGATTCAGAATCAGCAGTAACAATGCTGATAGCCATGCCCCTGCAATGTTTTTATTAAACCCAGTGTAGTACAAGCAGGCAGAGCCTACATGAGAGTGACAACTCTGCGCTGAATTCAGTATCATAGTCTCACCAGCAGAAGAAGCTGCATTAGGTGGAATTCCACAGGTATTTGTGGACCTTGCAGAAGAACTAAGAGAAAACTATAAGTGCAGCTGCATTTATAAGTAAGTAGGTGCTGCAGGATATATTGTTTCCATGAGAGGTCAAAGTTCTACCTTAACGTAAAAATCGTCAAGGTTACCTGCAGCCGGGCCCCGTTCATTAGATATACGCTTCTGCAAGAACTCCGGGATTTGATGCTCTCTACTGTAGCCTGTCACATGACCATTGATTTAATACGTGGTCTTTGCCATGCATGTGTTTTTGCTTCTATCTCCACTTTATGATGCGGTCATGCATTGCTGTCTTTTACATTGCGTTTACACAAGAAATACCCACAATATTTAGAAAGTGTGTTTTACATGGTGGTTACTACACAATGCAATAGTCTCTTAATGTCCCCTATGTCCAGGAATGTAAACTATCACAAAGGCAGCTAAAACCAGACAGTGGTGTAATATCATGTTGACTTTATCACTATTTCATCAATGAACTGCTTTTTTAAGCTGAACTCCAGGTAAAAAGCTAAATACATATATGGGAGATGGAAGCTTTTTTTTTTTTTACCTGCCAAAGGATTTGTATTTCTGTCCATCAATTTGTGGGATTTACACAGCCATGCCACACAACACACTCCTATCTACCAGGCAAGGAGACCTGATTTTTCTCTACTACAGTTGAGCACCACTTACAGGTGATGTCTCTCCCCCAGCCTGTGAATGGACAGTGAAAAAAAGCAGCAAACCAATGAACTTATGTCTCTGCCCCACCTCTCAGTGCTAGCAAATGAGCACTGTAGCATAACGTCTTGGCTTTTGGTGCTGCTTCTCATTCTCTTAGTCTGAGCTCTGCTGTACTGTAAGAGGCTGATACCAACTCAAATGCACATAGATACACTATTTCCATTTACAAAATACATATAATGATATATTAAAGCCTAACTGTACTCGCAGTTTAAATCAGCTAAATACATTCCAGGTACGTTAAAACTAGGGATGTCCCGATACCGATACTAGTATCAGTATCTTGGCCGATACCAGGCATTTTCAGGAGTACTTGTACTCGTGATAATGCCCCGATTCTTAAGGCTGATGAAACTTAAAAACTTTGTCGTGTCCTCGGCAGCCTGCTGGGGGTCTGACAGTAGCTGTCCATGGCAATGCCTGTCAGTTTTTATACCTCCTGCTCTTTCTTCCTGGCACAGGGACAAAACAAAAAGTGTGCAAAGTCTTAAATATTGTCTTCCTTGAAAAGCAGCCGCAGCCTGAGTAGAAAAGCCTGCCTGCCAGCATGCTGCAGAGAAGAATCTTTGCTGTCTGTTAGGAAGCAGTGGTCTCTCTTCAGCAGTCCGGAACACCTCCTGCTAAGTGAGAGGTAGAACTCTCCAATCAAAAGAAAGTATGAGCTTTGCTGAATAGAGCGCTCTAGTTCTAAGGCTCCATTCACACTCGAGTGGTTTCTGCACGTATTTGGCCAGCTGAATACGCGCAGAGCCGCTCTAAACAGAAAAAACAATACACTTTAAATGAGCATTGTTCAGACATTTGCGGCAGCCCGCAAAATAGTCCAATCGCAATTTTTTGATGGATTCCGCACATTCGCGGCCATATAATAGCCAGAAACGAGCGGAATCCGTGCAGATAAAAGATTTTGGCCTTTGCGTTGCTGCGGGGTCTTCCACATGGGAAACGCAAACGCTATATGTGAATGGAGCCTAAGTCAGCAAAGTGTATGTCAAACCTCTGCAGAGGACTCACTGCGTCCACACAGAATGTAGAGACTTTAAAAACCTTTTGTTTTGACGCACCTGAAATGTATTTAGCTGATTTAAACTGAATGTTCATTTGGCCCTTCATAAACACAGACCTGCATTAATATAGATCTTATATATCTACGTGGAGTTCAGCTTTCCCATAGCAGATGGCAGACAAAATATAAAAGGATGGCTGTAAAACACCAACTATGGTTTTCTTATGCTTATTCCTGGACAAGAGGCACTATGTATAAAATATCAGACTAATAGATCCTTTTTATTCTTATTATTTAGTATATTTAAATACATAAAAGACCCATCTCCTATTGAAGAGCCACAAGACACCCCACTGTTAATGAGAACATTTACTTCAGGAAGAAAGGAAATCCCCAGAAGTACATGCAAATTAAAGTCACATTTTACTTACACTGCTATCAGTCTGGAAGAAAAAAAACCAAAATGCAAAAAGTTACTTTCAATACATGAAATGGGCATACATGTAAAGCTGTATTTGTTGCTGTTTCTTTTGAGCCAGCATTTTAATATATCAACCCCTAAGCTCTGCTTTTACTTTTCTTGTGCCATTCAGCCTGACCATACCTGCAGTGTAACTGCAGTGAGTACAAGTCAGGAAACTGGTCCGCATATTGATTTTGTGGACCATTATCGAATGTCTTTAGTGCCCTCAGTCGCAGCTGATGAATTCTCTACTACTTTCTACACTTTTACAAAATCATTACAAATCACTAACTGCTGGAAGCAGGCAGGCCCTACATAGGTTAAACTACATCATAGACAGCAGGTGTCCAGACTAGGACTGAGAAGAAGGAACTCATGTCTTCAGGGTCAGGAGTTATAAATGATTTCAATTGCACTATACTCATTAAATCATTAGAGAACTTTCTTGGTATCTCTGGATTTTTAAAGGGTATCTAAAACAAAAATGTAATATATGTTTGTTGACTTACTTTCTGCCTGGTGAAACCATTGTCAAGCTAACAGGAAGTGAGGGGAAACCTCTCTAATGGAGCCCAGGATAGCAGTAAAGTCTACCCTAAACATTGCTTGTGTATATGACTGTGATAGGGACATTAGATAGTGACTAATGCAAAAGTTTCTTGGCTTCCTGTAAGATGATGACAAAAATAAAAAAATAAATTGCACTTACATTTTACATAAAACCTATTCCTTTTTTTGGATTTACCATGTTCAGCATCGTACCTGTGTCAGGAGAATATTGTCAAATAGCTGCTGTGTTTCTGATTGATCTTTGGTAATATCAGCATTAGCATTCATCCCAAAAATCTCAGGGGAAGAGTTCAGTGGAAGGGTCTTCGTATACTCAATGTACTGGTTGTACTGAAAAATTAAAAGATGAGCTGTTAGAAAGGGGTTTGTGCTATAGTTCCAATTTATATTTATGAGCCTAAAACTGCCTAAAATCCATTATCGTGTTCACATTATCTTCATCTGCAGCTTTCTATGTGAGAATAACTCTCCAGGACATGACAATGACACATGATGATCTGCAATCTACTGAGAAAGAAAATGAGAGACAATATCCTTGCACTGCATTTTTTGAACTTGGATAATTGATAAAAACAGTTAAAAGCTGTAATACAATCAAGAGCAAGATGATCCCATCACTGACTATAAATCATAACGTTATTAATTTAATCATTAAATATATAAGGTGTGACCACTATTTCTTTAATTACAAGTACTAAAGATAGTATTACAAACAAAGTTCTTAAATACAATGTAAAGTAATGTAACTCAAGTTAACATAATTATGATTGATACTCATTGTTTCTGGTACAGTTAAAGATGCGATTAATTCACAGCATATGGAGGACCTAACAGGGGTACAAATTAGCAAAGATGCACAACAATTTCTTTGATCAAATTTAAAAAAAAAAGAGGGCTAAATTTCATCAGACTGTAAGACCGAAGAAATGCTGTGCATCCATTTTCAATATTATAGTTGCTGATAGTTACACAGGTAACTAGCTTAAAAAAAGAGACATGTTTATCAAGTTCGAACTTTAAGAAATTCTAGAATTGATGGTAAAGAGGAAGGCATGACAAAGGATATTAGATTACTAGATTACTGATGCCAAGGGCAAGGCAAGCAAAAAACCTTTTTGATCCATTTGGGTTATTCTGGAGACGGCAACCCGCAGATGTAGCAGTGCCGTCCGTCCGTTTTTTTACTACGGGCGGACGGCAAGAGGTTAAAGAGGAGCTTTACCCACCAATTTAATGTCTCCCAGAACAGTTACTTTAAGGCATGCCAACTATCAAGGTTGCCAGTGTGCTTATTCCACCTCTCAACCAAACTTTCAAGCCCTCAAATGGCTGGTGTCATAGCTGATCTCATGTGCAGCACCACGGCAACTGAAATCCAGGCAGCACCATGGCAACTGAAATAGAGGCTAAGATGGCACCTTCCTTGGCTGTAAAGCAGGGGTAGCCAAACTCCGGCCCTCCAGCTGTGGTGGAACTACAAATCCCATGAGGCATTGCAAGATTCTCAGCCACAGACATGACTCCCGGAGAGAGATGCATCATGGGATTTGTAGATTCACCACAGCTGGAGGGCCGGAGTTTGGCTACCCCTGCTGTAAAGGATAGAAGGTTGTAGTTCCACTTTACAGTGAAACCTAGAAATGCATTGGCTTTTTATCATTCAAGAGACTATTTCAAATTAAATAAGGACTTAAAATTCTGCTTTTGGTGATTTCCTCCTTGAACACCTAATCATTACTTGAGCAAAGAGCCACCTTTCAGCCACCACACCTTACGATTATTGTACAAAACTTTTCGTCCAATGATCGAACCATCGTACGATTGTCGTACGGCGGCCCCATCCTGCCCCGATTATCACAAGGTACAATCAGCGGTAGTTAAAAAAAAAAAAACCACCTGGAAGAATTGCGGTAATCGACCGCTTTTATTTTTGTTGCGCATGAGCAGTGTTATTCGTACGACTTTTGACGTACGGAAACGCCACCAACCTTGCGAAAATCGTGCGATCGACTGAAGTTTCCGAACATGCAGGAAAGACAAAAGTCGTACGATTGTTCAGTACTGGCGGTTCCACACTACCCATACACCTTACGATTCTCGTACGAAAAGTCGATCGCATACGATTATCGTACAATAATCGTAAGGTGTATGTATTAAGGATAATCATCCCCTCTACACTGCTTAAGACTTGCCTGAAAACACCTGCTACTGTAAGTCATCCAGTGCCGCACATCTTTCTTCTACTTCTCAGAACATTCTAAGACTTTCCTTTACTATTTATAACTGAAGATACTATTAGTTACAAAGAAAGTATGCAATCCATTTCAAAATCCATTACTGATTTTGTCATTACTACTTCATTTACTTTGGTATTTTATATATTAAAAGAGAAAGGGGAAAAAAGCTTGGAGATAGACCTTCTGCCAAAAAAAAAAAGTATTTCTGCTTTCTCCAAGCAATTTGTAATAATTGTACAATGCCTGTGGTGCAATGCAGTTAACACTTCTGGCCCATGCCCAGTATATGCAATATGGTTAAAATGGAGCCAGGTGTAGGGACAATGTAACTCCAGCGTACTTGTGCTGTTTTACAGCAATGTTACAACATTCCTTACATTTTCTTACAGTACTCTGGCCACAGCCTCAGCTCTCTGTACTTTAGGGTTTGTTATTACTGTGAGCTTTGTGACTCCACGTTACTTTGCTAGGATGCACAACACTTTGTTCTATGCAAATTGGTTACAAATATCTGCTAATAAACACAGTTTATTTGTTTTTTTTAGCACAGTACAGCAGATTAGGATTATGCAAAGGCAATTCCCCAGGACAAACCAAGAACAAATCATTAGGACTATACCAGCTTGCTGAAACAAATTCAGTCATACAGGACCCTGGGTAGCTCAGAAGATGATTTAGATAACTGTTCCACTTATTTTCCCCCAGTTTGAGACTCATCACTAGCCTGATGTATATTGAGGATTTATGTGCAAAATTAACTGCCACCTGTAAACCCCTAATGGGTGAAGTGGCACAGGAGGGGGGCAAATGGCACAGAAAGTGTTTAAAAAAAAAAAAATCACACCCAGCATCAAATTTAAACAGCTTTATTTAAAAAAATGAACTCCTATGCATAAAATAGAGATTAAATGGTAGGAGTAGCTGGACAATAGGATTCAGGAAAATACCCACAGTCCAGTCCCCATGTTGTCATTGGTAGCATAATAAGTTACCAGTATTTGTTTTTTTCTAAATTATTATTTTATCAATAATTATGGAAGAAATAGACTGTTCCTTGAAAAACTGTATTGGGTAAATTCTAGACATGTGCGATTCGTTTCGTTCCGAATCGAAATTCGGACGAATTTTCAGAAATTCGGACATTCGGATGTATCCGAATTCCGAATTACAGACATAACGAATGCAAACGAATCCGAATTTCCATTTCCGAAATTCGGTAGCGTTAGTACGAACGTTCGTTTTGTTTTCTGTTCTTATTCGTTTCTTATTCGTTTCGTTCGTTGGAGCAAAGTGACATTAGAGAAGGAGAAAACATTTTTGTCCCCCTCAAATGTCACTTTTGCTGCAAACGAATACGAAACGAATAAGAACAGAAAACGAAACGAACGTTCGTACTAACGCTACCGAATTTCGTCCGAATTCCGAATCCGAATTGACTTTCACACCCGAATCCTGAAAAACGAAATAAGACAAATCCGAATTTAAAACGAAACGAAACTAAACAAATTTTTTGGCAGTGCACATGTCTAGTAAATTCCACTTTAAGGTGTGCAACTTCCAGAAAGGGAAGGGGCTTTAAAGAAATATTATAACTCTCTTAGTATATAAAAAAATAGAAATTATATTTATTAGTATCACATATTTTAAAGTATAATTAAAAAACAAATAAAAACATGATTGATCCATTTCACCACATGATAGTAATGCCACATCAATTAGGTAATATAATCTAATAGTTTTGATAGAACATAGAAAATAGCTCATTCTGGTAGCCCAACATGTTTTGCACTTCGGGGCTTCTTCAGGGGGAAATTATATGTCCTAAATAAAAGGAAACCCATGTAGAGCAAATAAGAGATTGCACTTTTGTATAAAGCATGTGTTTGCACAAAATGCAATCTCTAATGTTTTAATTATACTTTAAAATATGTGATACTAATAAATATAATTTCTATTTTTTTATATACTAAGAGAGTTATAATATTTCTTTAAAGCCCCTTCCCTTTCTGGTATTTGCTCATCTTAAAGTGGAATTTACCCAATACAGTTTTCAAGGAATTTCAAATTGGGGTGTGAAATAGACTGTTAGATTAATCATTTATTTATTACAGATATTTATGTAGCGCCTTTAATTTACCCAGCACTTTACATACTAATCATTCACATTACCCCCTGCCCTTAGGGAGCTTACAAGCTAGGATCGCTACCTCATATGCACAGACACTAGAGCAAAGTTTGGACAGGAGTCATTTAACCTACCAGCATGTCTTTAGAGTTATGGAGGTAACTGGAGTACCCAGAGGAAATCCACGCAAGCACAGGGAGAACATGCAAACGCCATACAGATAGTGTCCTGGCCGACCCTGGCACTTTAGAGCTACAGGGCAGAAGTGCTTACCACACCATTGTGCTACCCTGTTCCCTTTATAGCCAAATAGAGCTAGCAAAAACAGAATACAGTACATGTCTCATTTGCAAACAAGAAGAATATTGCTTGGCTTCCCTCTTTTCAATCTTACTACACACTGGGCATCACCTGTACAAATTATACTCCTGCTGGCTGCACATTAGATTAGATCAGGCTTAAAAATGGGTAGATAGATGAAAGTAGTCACTCGCACTCCATGATATTAAAGTAAATGCTGTTTATTGACTGAGATAACACACATCTCCTTAGCGACGTTTCGAGACCATGCGGTCCCGTCCTCAGGCAAACCCCTCTCTGTTTGCCTGAGGACGGGACCGCATGGTCTCGAAACATTGCTAAGGAGATGTGTGTTATCTCAGTCAATAAACAGCATTGACTTTAATATCATGGAGTGCGAGTGACTACTTTCATCTATCTACATTTTTACGGAGGCATCCGTTGTCACTACCGCACCCACCCAGTTGGATTTGGGTTTTTGTCCGGTCAGGAGTGCGATGGGACAGGAGGATTAAGTTAAAAATGGGTAGGACATCTATTGCACTACCCATTTTTAGAAGAAATAGAAACTGCACATATTCCATCTGCTGTTCAATCACCATAGTGACAATTGTAACTGAAGGACGCCATCTCGGGTCTCAGACTGCACCCTCTTTTTCAAGTGCCAGCACATGGTGCATTTCCTAAAACTTTGACTTCAGTTATGTGTGTTGCAATAAAAGTTTCATTATTGTGACTGAAAGAAGAAAGTGCAGCCTTGATCTTCTTTACTTTTCACGTGGTTTCCAGAATATCCTTCAGCTAAGTTCTATGGTCTCCTGCACACTGGAGGGCTCATTTAATTACATTCATGAATCGTATTTTTGACCTTTATATATGATGTATAATCATTAAGCACCTCCTTTAAAAAAGGTGTGTGACACAAAGGCACCTAGACTGCAACAATAAATCTAAGTGACTAGGATTATATACAGGTTGTGACAAAAACCGTGAAGACAAATGGCTTATAGAGAACAGTGATCTTATGTTAAGGATAGAGAGTAACACTCTCATAAAGCAGGCCATTTATAAAGGTCGAAATTCATATTTTTACCTTTCTTTCACTGGAAATAGCATTTCCAACAGTTCTGCCTATTTATTACTTTGGACCTCCACTCAGTTTCACTATACTTTAAAGAAAAAAACACCCACAGAATTCTCTTTGTAAAAAGCCTTGAAGAAATATTAAACTCTCAATCTTTTTTTTTTTTAAATGAATCCAGATCAGATATACTATTTCTTTAAGTTTTAGCCCAGTCCTTTACAGTCATCATGTTTCCAAACAGCTGGATTTAAAGGAGAACTATGAGGCGAGTGCTTTTCACTCACCTCATAGTTCTAGCCGACCTGTGACAATGACACTGTCGCAGGTCGGCTCAGTAGATCGGGAGGTGATCGAACACATACCGGCGTTCGCTCACCTCTCAATCCTGTCATGGCTCTCTGCCGTGGCAGGGGAGGGGCTGGATTCCCCCCTCCCCGCTCCGATCCGCCAGCGCTGACTGGCGGAACGGACGGGGGAGAGGGCAGGTACAGCTGGCTCTGCCTCTAGATAGGCAGAGCCAGCACAATTGTCGGGATCCGCTTAAGCTGCGGCGTCTCAGTATATATACTGAGCCTAGGGTGACGGGAGGACGCTAGTTTGTGTCCTCCCGTTACCCTAAGGAGAACTATGGGGAAAAGCCTTAACCCCATAGTTCTCCTTTAACTCTCCCTTCCCTGAACTTCCTGTCCAGTACAAGACAACAAGGGACAGTCTGAAACATCTGTCCATCTACTAGCTTGGAGAAGGAAGGAGGGAGGAGGAATAAAGACACACAATTTACTGACTCACATAAGGGTTGTTCTGTAGGATGCTGCAAAGGAAAGGAGCTACCCTAAAACAGGATTTCAGAGGACCAGCTGATTCTGCAGCAAACTAAAACTTTTAAACATCAAGGAGCAGCATCCATTAAATCCATTGATTTAATCAGCATTTGAAATAGCTTAAAAACATTCTGATCTTTTTAATATCACTTTCATTTTTGTTGTTTTCAGTTTTCTGCTGAGAATTTTGCATATAGATCATGCCACCTTAACCAGGTTTATTCCACTTTCTCAGTACAGATAAGCTTGTACTGGAACTTTTCTCAAGCTGCTGTACTTTGTTTAACCAGGTTTGTTGGGTGTATAGAAGATTGCACCACACCCCTTTACAGTAGAAGCGATTCTGGCGACTCAGCTGTTGCCAGATCGCTTCTATGGCCCGGTGAAAGGGTGTCGCCCCCCACCCGACGTGTTTCCCGGGCTCCGTTGCCCCTCCTACGGGCCCGGGACCGGCTTCTTTGATGTCAGCGGGAAGCTGGGGAGGAGATGGACGAACCTCCGTTCGTCGATCCCCTACCCATTCTATGGGACCGGGAGCGATGCAGATTGCCGGGAGCACTCCTGAAGCCCAGCTATAAGCTATTGTAGTGCGATCTGCACTTCACTAGCTTACTTGGAGTGTAAAGGTGACACTGGGGGTATTTTGGACCCCCAGCATCACCTTAAAGAGTACCTGTCACCACAATCTGCTATCATATTGGGTTTGTAAGCCCCCCTATGTGATAGCAATTAAAGTAAAGTAAAATAAAAATAACAGTTTTTAAAATTAAACATTAAATAGAATAAATCTAAAAATAATAAAAAAGTATTTTTTAAAGTCCCCCGCCCTCGCGAGCACGCTATTTACTCGTTGTAACCTTATCTTTCATATTTTATTTAAAAAATGGGTATTTAAGTAAATTTTTCACTAAATTTTGGGGTTTGATAAGATGTTGCGCTAATATCGTGCAACATAAAAATTTACAACTGCCATCATTTTATTCTACAGGGTCTTGGCTTTCACAAAATAAATAATGTTTGGGGGTTTTAAGTAATTTTCAGGCCTAAAATGTGGAATATAACATGGGTGCAAAAAATGGAAGAAAAGAAAAGGCCTCAGTCGAGAAGGGGTTAAAGTGGAGATCCAACCACACCTTTTTTTATTCTGCCTATGAATTGAACAGGAAAGGATTAGAGTTCCTGTACATTTTTCATTTCTTTGTTGTCTGGGTCCTCATGATAGGAAATTTCTATTCTGAGTCTTACATTTTTGGAGAGGTCCCTGGAATATTAGCAGGTATCCCCTTTTCTCCTGTTCAACAGTCTCCTTTCTTTCTATCCTATCATAGTCAACAAGACAGAAAACGAGCATGACCCTTCTTAACTCTGTGTGCTTTTATACATTGGAATGAAACGTAGCCGTTTGTTGAGATTGTAATGTGACTAGAATGTGAAGTAAAATAAAGCACCAACTTTTTCCATATCAATTGTTGATATTGTACACATTTTCAAAAGTATTTTTGAAAAACATAAACCTACTCACTTCTCCATCAGATGGAACATAGTAAAGACCACTTGAGTCAAATTTGTAACTTTCATTATTAATGATCTCTGGGTTATAGAATTTGTTCAGGATGCTACGAAGTGTTCGCCGGTCCCAGTCATCAGTTACTCTGCCTCCATAGTTACACTCTCCAGTCATGTATCGTACAGCATCATAGGGCACTTCCTGCAACATGAGGGGTAGATGGTAAAATATATGTTTCTGGATCACATTGTACCTAGAACATGTACAAACCTTCAGACACGCTGCTTTATACAAGGCGTAATGATCCAAAACAGTCCAGGCAAAAAATGACATAAAAGTACAACTGTGGGAATGAATTCCAGAGAATTGAATTAAACAGTATAGCAGTGTTTTTAAAAGACTGGCCTTGAGCAGCCCTCAGTTATTCCTACATAATTAGCCTGAGGTAGAAAATTGTTTAGGTTTATACCCTCACAAAATATGAAAGACCCCATTCTTGTCTTTAAGAATTCATCTTGTCATTTTCTTAACTTTAAAAATAAACAATTAATGTTTTTTTAATTATGATTATCTCTATCATTCACACCTTTTTTTCTTTCCTTTAACTTCACTTTGCTCACCTCTACTTCAGCTTTCAGAATGTATCGGTTTTGTTTCGGTTTCCTGTAAAAATATTGAGTCACCTAAAAGTAGCATGAATTCGAAACCAGACTAGGTTTAAGCTCCTCAAAATAGACAGACTGTTTTGATCAGGTGTTTTAGGTGAGAGTTGTTGGAACAACCCAAATTTTTTGGTTTTGGACAGTTAACTATTTTGCTGTCATGCTAATTAATCATTTTCTATTAGATGATTTATATCTTCATATTC